AGCCCCAGGGATGCAGAACCGATCCCCGGGGGGTGCAGAGCAGAGCCCCAGGGGGGCAGCGCCGAGCCCTGAGGTGTGCAGAACCGAGCCCCAGGGATGCAGAACCGATCCCCGGGGGGTGCAGAGCAGAGCCCCAGGGGGGCAGCGCCGAGCCCTGAGGTGTGCAGAACCGAGCCCCAGGGATGCAGAACCGATCCCCGGGGGGTGCAGAGCAGAGCCCCAGGGGGGCAGCGCCGAGCCCTGAGGTGTGCAGAACCGAGCCCCAGGGATGCAGAACCGATCCCCGGGGGGTGCAGAGCAGAGCCCCAGGGGGGCAGCGCCGAGCCCTGAGGTGTGCAGAACCGAGCCCCAGGGATGCAGAACCGATCCCCGGGGGGTGCAGAGCAGAGCCCCAGGGGGGCAGCGCCGAGCCCTGAGGTGTGCAGAACCGAGCCCCAGGGATGCAGAACCGATCCCCGGGGGGTGCAGAGCAGAGCCCCAGGGGGGCAGCGCCGAGCCCTGAGGTGTGCAGAACCGAGCCCCAGGGATGCAGAACCGATCCCCGGGGGGAGCAGAGCCGAGCCGCGGGGCGTGCAGCGCCGAGCCCTGGTTGTGGAATGTCGAGCCCCGGGGGGTGCAGAGCCGAGCTCCGCCAAGCCAGTGCTGAAGGTAGTGGGGGGCTTTGGGCAGGAGGGTTTTGGGGGCTGCGCTCGGCTCCGGGGCTGCACATCCCTGCTCAGAGCCAGCTCCTGGCCGCCTGCGCACAGTCCTGGGCTCTGAACCCCGCTTTCTCGCAGAGCCCCAGTAATCCTGGCTTGTGTTGTACAGAGCTGGGGCGTTAATGTTTAACAGCATTAGGGAGTTTTTCTTGCCAGGAATTCCCCTTGGCTCTCTCTGTACTTCTCTGGTCTGCGAGCACCCGCAGTGCCTCCTGTTATCAACACGACAGGGGCTGCGAATTTGTCCCTTGTTCATTTTGAACCTGGCTTCCCAGTGCCTGCGGTTTGTCTCTGCCACATCCAGGGATATTTCTCAGCCGCGCTGGCTGCAAACTTGGAGCGAGCAAGGGCTGCTCTGCCCGTGTGCTCGGAGTGAGTGGAGCAAGCCCTCGCCTCGCTCCGTCGCTCAGCCCCTGCCCTCCTGTCGCTGTGCCCAGGTGCGGGGGGCCAGGACTTTGAGCGGCTCCATCCCCAGGACAAGGTGTCGGTGACAGTGGGGGAGACGCTCACCCTGACCTGCACCGCGCCCAGAGGCAGTCTCGCTGGTGCTGTGGAGTGGCTGAAGGGCTGGGGCGGTGGGAACGAGACCGTTTACGACCAGAAGGGCTCCTTCCCCCGCGTGACGAGGGTAGCGAATGGGTCCAACATGGACTTCAGCATCCGCATCAGCGATGTTCGCCCCGAGGATGCTGGCACCTATTACTGCGTGAAGTTCAAGAAATCGCTGGGCGGTGATGAGGTGTTTCAGCGAGGAAAGGGCACGGTGGTGTCCGTGCACGGTGAGTGCAGCCCAGTGGGACGCTGCTCCTGGGGACCCCATCCCCTGGCCCCCACCCTGCCCGTGGCGGGGTCCCGCGCTGCCCTGCACCCACCACCCTGTCCCTGCTCTGTCTTCTGTCTCCGCAGAGACAGCCCTGGTTCCCAGCATAGTGGCTGCAGCTGTAGTGCTCTGCTTCCTCCTCGGCCTCTTCTTCGCCGTCTGCATGTACAGGAGGAGGCGCAGAGGCGAGGTGGAGAGCCAGCGCCTGGCCAGGCGAGCAGCCGTGGGCAGCTTCTCACCCGTCCCTCTGCGGTGCTGTGCAGGGACCCCCGGCACCCCGAGGTTAGTACCCACCACCTCTTCCTTCTGCACCCCGAGACGAGCGAATGGGCTTATCCACCTGCCTTATCCTGGTTTCCTCTCCCTCTGGAGCAGTAATTTTCCCCAGAACAGGTCCTTTACTCACAGGCACATCGCTGCGCTGCGTTGCTTCTCTCTGCGGTTCTGGGAGCGCGCGGTGGGGAGTGCCCAGCACCGGGGAGCTCCCTGCAGCCCCTCACCGTGGTGCCTGAGCCCAGTCCGGGCACGCAGACGGCACGTTGTCCCTCTCCTCTGCCTTCAGCGTGGGCATCGTGTGTGGCCATGTGCCGCAGAGCCCGGCTAAAATTCGGGAGGGGAATTGAGGAGGGCTGTGCTGGGTGGGGTGGGAAGGGGACCTGGCTTCCTTTAGCTCTAATGGCCGTTCTTCCCCCCAGCAGCGAAGTCCTGGACTCAGAGAGCTCACATCTGCCCAGCCAGGTAAGAGTGAGCCGTGAATATGAGGAAGAGCATCCCATGCCGATGTCCCGGCTTACAGGGACTCTGCAAGGCTCTGGAGCTGGGGTGGGCATTGGGGGAGCAGCAGCTGCCTGCATGCGGTCCCGGCACACTCCGCACCACGGCACGGGGCCGTCTGTGCAGTCGTGGCGCCGCTGGCTTGAACCTGCCATTAAAGATTTTTCTTGTGACAGCATTCGCCGTTTGTGTGCACTTCTGCAGCAAAGCAGCAAGGAGGACAACATCCACTACGCTGATCTCCAGCCCCTGCCCGCGTCCCCGGGGCACAGCAGGAGCCCCAGCGCAGCCTGCTCGGAGTACGCCAGCATCAGGGTAGCTGCCAAGTGATGTGTGGCACCGCAGCCTGCAAGGCCAAAGAGCCCATTTCGGAGGAGGAAGCAGGAACAGTTCTGCAGGACGCAGTAAAGAAGTGGATCTGTTTGCATGGCACACCCCAGTCCAAGCTCGGCACGCCGCGCTCGGAGCTTGCAAAGCTCCCCTAATCCATTCCCGTCTCAGTGGCGGAGGCGGGCGAGGCTCAGGG